TGGAGAGAGGGAGGTCTGGGCATCTTTGCTTAGACTGCTGCCCCCGCGACCCGGCCCCGGATAAGTGGAAGAAAATGGATGGATGGATGGAATACTTCATTTAAGTTTAGAAAATTTAAAGTAACTCAGTTACCTGAACATTGACGGTCATTACAGGCAGGTTTATTTTTCTTTTATGTTTCTCAGTTTGAAGTCGTTTCATCATTTGACACGATCATTTAAAAAAGAAACAACCACAGTGTAATTTGTTGTGTATTACAGACACAAAGTCTCTGGAGAGTGTTAGGTTTCAAACATTGCATGCTGGGAAGTCTGCTAGTATAGGTTAAATGTTATTCCACCTCTGGAAAAAAACAGCATTTCCCCAACTTATTTTTCCTAAAATAATCAAACTCATATACATTTTGTTGGTCAGCTTTTCTGACCCCAGCACAAGTAACTTCTTTAAACTGAGTGTTAATAACAGGCTGAAGAAAAGTGAATTAGGCCCACAAATTATTTTTTGAGTAAACTCCCTGTTAACATTAATTGATTTTCAGTCTTTCTGTGTGTTCTCACAGATCCCGGTTCTCATCAGCCTGAGTCAGGATGCAGATGTTAACCTGCCAGTAAAGCCTCTCATCTTTGCCTTGGCTATGGGAGCCTGTCTCGGAGGTAAGCCTATCATTTGATCCTCTTCATGAAATAAAGCATAAGCTAAAAGGTATGAGACTTTGGGTTTGAGCTAAACACACAACAAGCTGTGGAGCTTAATCAATGGCCTAACTGCCAGAAGAAGACACCCTATGCTCCAAGTGACAGCTACAGCTTTGTACAGCTGTGTCACTCCCCGGGGAGGTTAGGCTGTGCATTGTGAGAGCAGTCTGAGGCCTCCAAAGCTGGCCTCATTCAGGCTCTACCACACAGTGGTCGGCCCTTCAGCACAGCATGGCACTATTTGGATGGGAAGGACACAAAGAGGGAGAGAGAGAGAGAGAGATGTCATAGTGTTTCAGTTTAATCAGCTGCTCTGTGACAGGTCCTTATCGATCGGAAGTATGATGTTGCCACCGACCAGCTCCATCCTGACACCTTTTGAGGTGTCAGCATTAACAAATGGCAGGATGGATATACTACCCGACTGTGAAAACGTAGCCTACATTAAATTCAAAATAGTAAAACTTTATAGATCAAGGCTGAAAATACTGAAAGAAAGCTGAATGTAATTCTTATAGTATGGCATAAATAGTTGTCCTTTGTAATTGTGCTCATGCTATAATAATAATGTGCTTCATGTCACATTGCAGTCAAACCTGAATATATACATTTTGATTGGTTTTCATTCATTTTGTTTTCCTGTGCATTTAGGAAATGGCACATTGATAGGAGCATCCGCCAATGTTGTGTGTGCAGGAATTGCAGAACAACATGGCTATGGCTTTTCCTTCATGGAGTTCTTCAGGTAAGCCTTCTCTCCTTCAGCAACACTAAACATACTGTAACATATGAAGCAGGGAGTTCTGTAACATAGGCTATTATCCCTAAAGGGGTTCATTCATGTCTGTCGTACAGTACAGTATGTTGCAATACAAGATACCAACAATGCCTCAGGACGTTTAGAGAAAAGCCCAAGAGAAACAGAACCTGTTTGTTTGTTTTTTTAAAATTGAGTATGAAATCACTCCTAATTGCCCAAAATGTCTCTTAGTGTTTTCAGGTGTAAACCAGGAGTAAATGTCATTTTCTAACTCAGGAAATTACACCTAGTTTATTAAAAGACAGATTTATGATGTTGTGTGAGATGCAGAGGACAATGCTTCTCAGTGTCCTTCCAATGTAACACCTTTTTGGAACAGAGGAAAATGCAGCTGTATGGTGATTCAATCAGAACCGATCACTTTGGAAATCATAAAGCAAAATTTTCAAATTACAGTGGCTTCCAATCAGTATGAGCTTCAATTAATTTTCTCACGTTTTTTTTACATGTGCATTTCTATATGCAGTATGGAGGAACTCTATAGACTATAGCAATATGCATTCATGATCTCCAGAAAAAGAAATATGATACTGTACATTAAAAAAAGGAAAACGGTCAAAGTGTGACTGACTGAACTGACACCATGTGAAACCCTCTGATCATTTCCCAAATGAATGACAAAAACAATGTCATTATACAGCACCTCAAGCAGAATGTTAAGTCAGCTGCATCCAAACTTGCCACCTGCTCACTAATAATTTTGAGCCAGGCATACTTTGCAATTTCGCTGTTGGAGAAGTGGAAGTGATCAGTAATGTTGAAAGAAAGATTAATATGAGTCTGATTAGGCCTAATGTGAAGTCGCTTGGCCAGAGCTGTGAAGATTTTTGTCACCAAATGTAATTCAAAGAATCACGTGAAAGTCGGTGTCAAATGCAGACACTTCTACTGGACCCAGTGACAGGGGTTGATCACCACTACCAGTTTAAGGAAGTCTTTTTCAGCTGTACTTATATGGGTGAGTTGTCATTTGTCTGCAATTCTGGCTTCCTTTGTGTATTTACTGTGTGCTTTTCTGTGATCTGTTTAGATTCTTTGCTTGTTTAGCCGTGCAGGCAGCATAGCTCTAGGGATGACATAAGGATAAATCTCTCTATCACACCAAATAATGTCTGTATCATGATAATAAGTGCACAAGTGAAATAATAAGGTGAAAATGATAAAGAAATGTAACACAAACAGCTGCAACATGTCATATACAGTATTTGTGTTACGGCAGCAGCACGTGATTGTGTATAATTTGGTTGTGCTCAGTTATTTTTACCAGTAGATTTCACTTGTGAACACTGTGTTGAATGAGGCTTGGCTTAATGAATCTTTTGGCGACACAGCTGGCTGCAAA